GCCACGTTGCACGTTATTGCAGAGACAGACGTCAAGCTTTTGCGGATGCCAGACTTGGAAGATAAACAGTCGATTTCGGAAGACCAAGAACGGAAAATTACACCATGGGCGAATCAGGAAGCGAACTATCCCAAGGAAGATTCAGAAACCCGTCGTCATATCCCCACCGCGGAAGATTCCAAGCTCCCAGATGAACCTCACAATCCCCTGCTCGCCGTCCCAGCCGCTCACCCAGTCGCCGCAGTGAGGAAAACTAGATGGCGCGCCCTCTGGAGGTGTGGCCGCCACAGACGAAAATCCTCCCTGCCGTATAACCGCTACAATTGAAAAGAACTGGATATCTGTCAACATACAAGGACGAAATGTACAAGCTCTTGTGGACTCCGGCGCTGATTACTCAGTAATTTCCGAAGCTTTCAGACGTTCTATAAAGGCTCCAGTTTTTAAAGAAAATGGACCACTTCTAAGAGCCGCGGACAGAAGCCTATCGTGACCCTTGGTAAGTGCTCTTTAGAAGTTCAAATCAAAGGACTCGATATTATTTTTATTTTGTAGTAGCCGCTGAATGTAGCCACGATGTTATACTGGGCTGGGATTTCTTCAGAGACACAGATGCCATTATAGATTGTGGGAAAAACAAATTGTATTTAAGAGAAGCTGAAAAATCCTACGAATGGAAAGACCTAAAACTTTGTGCTGCTATGGACTGTGTCCTACCGCCGAAATCTTTTGGCAAGATAGTTGTCACCAACCAGGATGTATTTGGCAGCAGAGATGTAGTCGTTACAGGTTCCAAACGCCTGCAGTTGGAAAAAGGACTTTTTATTCCCTCTTCCCTCGTTAGGTTCTTACATGGCAGAGCGGTGTTGTGGGTGACTAACAGTACTCACCAGTCTCAAGTGATACCTTCGGACATGAAGGTAGGAACAATGCAAGATCTAGAAGTAGGGAGCATATCTAATCTTGACGCTTGTTCTGAAATAGCTGGAAAGGCGAAGTAACTTCCCCAGATGTGAGAGAATGTTTAATTTCAATGATTTCTACTGATTTGGAGGAAACAAAGAAAAACAGATTACTCATGTGCCTAAATGAGTTTGCTGATATATTCGATTTTGAGAAAAAGAGCTTCCCTGTCTCTGGCGAAATAAAACAAAATCGATACGAGTGATTATCCGCCTGTCAGACAGCGTCCTTATAGAGTGTCTCCCGCCGAAAGACGTGTCATTCAGAGTGAAGTAGAGAAAATGATGGAGACTAAAATCATCCGGCCATCATCAAGTTCATGGGCCTCTCCCGTTATATTAGTGAGGAAGAAGGACGGCTCGTTGAGATTCTGTGTCGACTATCGTCGTCTAAACAAAATTACAAAGAAAGATGTTTACTCTCCCTCGTATCGATGACGCGCTGGACACCCTCTCTGGATCCAGGTACTTCTCCACTATGGATATGAGATCGGGTTACTGAAAAATCGAAGTAGACGATAAGGACCGGGAGAAAACGGCATTTATCACTCCAGATGGGCTTTATGAATTTAATGTAATGCCATTCGGTCTATGCAATGCACCAGCAACTTTCGAGCGAATGATAGACAACGTCCTACGGGGATTGAAATGGGACATGTGTTTATGCTACTTAGACGACATTGTAGTCTATGGATCGACCTTTAAAGAACATTTAACACGTTTATACAAAGTTTTGAGATGCATTCAGCAGGCCGGGCTGTGCCTGAATTATAAAAAGTGCCATTTCGCCTCGAGACAAATAACTATCCTCGGGCACGTCGTTAATGAATTTGGAACGCAGCCAGACCCAGAAAAAGTGAAAGCCATTGTCCACTTTCCAAAACCCGTAATATCAGTGAGACCAGAAGTTTTCTTGGGTTAAGTTCGTACAATAGACGCTTCATCAAAAGTTATACTAACAAGTCTCGACCCTTGAATAGCCTTTTAAAGAAAGACGAAAAATTCATTTGGGGCGAAGAACAAGATGAACCTTTCCGGATTCTCAAACAGGAATTGGGATCTTCGCCTGTGTTAGGACATTTCGTAGAAGGTGCGGAAACTCATGTCCATACTGATGCAAGCGGTTATGGGTTAGGGGCAGTTCTTGTTCAAATCCAGAATGACGCGGAGAGACCTATAGCCTATGCCTCGCGAACACTAACCAAAGCGGAAAAGAATTATTCCACTACAGAAAAGGAATGCCTCGCAGTTGTTTGGGCCTTGGTAAATTCCGCCCGTACCTATATGGCAGACCCTTTACTGTGGTTACCGACCATCACTCGCTATGTTGGCTGGTAGGCTTGAAAGATCCATCCGGCCGCTTAGCCCGTTGGGCCCTCAAACTACAAGAATACGACATAAACTTCGTTTACAAAAGCGGACGGAAGCATAAAGACGCTGACTGTTTGTCAAGAAGCCCCTTGGCTGACACCGCGGAGATAGAAGGGCACATTATTTCTATCCAAGACGTTGCAGAAGAACAAAGTAAAGACCCTCATTTGGTTGGGATCCGTGAAAAACTTGCCAATGAAAATTTAAAAGGGTATCAGATGATTGGAGGCGTTCTCTATAAGAAAAATTACGACCCTGAGGGCAAACCATGGCTGCTAGTAGTCCCAAAACAGATGAAGCACGAAATTCTTAAAGATGTCCACGACACTCCAATGGCCAGTCATTTGGGGTTTGCCAAGACCTATGACCGCGTTAGAAAGAGATTCTATTGGCCTGGACTTTGTAGGACAGTTTTCCAATACATTGCTCATTGTAAAGAATGCCAGCGAAGGAAGGGCGTGCCTCAGAAACCCCCTGGACTACTGGTCCCAATACCGCCAACTACCTCGCCTTTTCAAAAGATAGGAATTGATTATCTGGGAAGATTCCCCATATCTCACACGGCAAATAGATGGATACTAGTCGCGACTGATTATCTCACCAGATTTGCGATAACAAAGGCCGCGACAACAGCGGGAGCTACTGATTTAGCAACCTTCCTTATTGAAGACGTCATACTCAAGCACGGCGCTCCTCGGGAAATCATCACAGACAGAGGAAGAAATTTCATGTCTCAGACCATACGAGAAATAAATACTCTAAATGGAACAATTCACAGATTCACCACGGCGTACCACCCTCAAACGAATGGTTTGACAGAAAGACTCAACAAGACCCTAAATGACATGATCTCGATGTATGTTGACGTTGATCAGAAAAATTGGGACAGCATCCTACCATATGTGACCTTCGCCTACAATACCGCTCGACAAGAGACAACAGGATACAGCCCGTTCTTCCTCGTCCACGGCCGAGAAGTTGAAACACCGCTGGATTCTATACTGCCGTACCAGCCGGCAGGAACTGCAGAAGATTATGTGGGCCATCTTGTGACCAACGCTGAGGACGCACGGATGTTAGCCCGTCTTAACATCCTGCAGGCTCAGAGCAAAGACAAAGAACGCTACGACAAGAAGCATCAGGAGGTGACGTACAAGGAAGGTGGTTTGGTTTGGGTGTTCACCCCAGTCCGTACCGTTGGCTTGTCGGAGAAGTTATTGAAGAGATATTTCGGACCCTATCGAGTGATCAGAAAAATATCGAGTGTAAATTATCAAGTAGAAGGCGTGACGAATACTAGGAGAAGACGAAAAACCCAAGATATCGTCCATGTAGTGAGAATGAAGCCCTACCACGACCCCGAAGTCCAAGAACAGATTGCCCAGGGTCATGTGACCGACTAGTAAACAGCGGGACGCTGTTTCTCTTGTGGAGGGAGTGATGTCAGGAGGACAGAGTTTCCTGGTATTCCCTCTTATCTGGGCAGACCGGTCGGGGTAAACAGACGGAAAAGGAGGAAATATCTCAGTTCTCCCCTCTTGCTCTAACGGCTGGGTCGATTTGGCTCATGTAAATAGTGACTCTTATTTTATATTTAAAATCTCTCATATAACTCATTAAATAAATATTTAAAGTAATTCGAAGGCCTAGTTAATTATTTTTCATCGCGACAATATGCTCTCAATACGAATCATAGGTGATCTGTTATCATAGGCGATGGCTCCCCAAACCATAATGCCGCGATGTCGTGAGGTACGGCGTTCCACAGATGCGGCTGGATTGGACCTGTCACCCAGACGGCACCAAACTTTTACTCGGTGACCGTCATTGCTAAAACACAAGCGAGGTTCACTGAGCACACTACCCTGTGTCATTCTGCTGTCCATGTTGTTGTATTTGTGTGTGTTGCGATTCTATCCTGACAAAATTGCAAAAGGATAAGTCTGTGCTGTTGGGTCAATGGCAGTCTTTTTAACGGGCGCCATGATGTAGGCCGCTGGCGACCAATCTGTCTATAACGGTTCTAGTCGATATGGGAGAATCAAGAGTGTCCTGCACATCCTGGAAAATGACGACAGAAGTGGACTGTTGTACTGTCAATGCCATCTGACGGATACGTTGATCCACGCGTGCTGACGTCATTCTGGCCGCATCAGCACCCCTCAATCATGTCACATTTCCTTGTTCCAACCATCATCGCCATATCCGATGCACTGTGGACGCGTCGAGGTGTCTGTACGAAGATATTTGACGTATGGACTAACCGGCCCTTCTGAGTCCAATCACCATAGCTCTCGTAAAATCGATTCCTTAGAAGAAGAAGAAGAAAAAAAAACAGATCAAAGACTCTCTACTTTCTTAAATTTTATCAATGAGTGTACTTTAAAGTGTATATGTAAATCTTACTAAGAAGAGAAAAGGAGTTCTTCTTTTAACTAAACTGACTTTGCTGTAATGCAGAGATGGCAAATAGACGTACACATCGATTTTATACGAGAAACCTCTTTTAGCGCCATTTTTATTTTTCAAATAAAACACTTCCTGAACTTACTGAAATTTAAAAATTATGGGAGGTTCTGGCTTATCTGTGGATTTACGCGCATTTTGACGGGAGAAATGGCTTTTTATTATCAAAAATAAAGATGTACAACCTTTTGACGGTTCCTTTTAGGGTACTGGGTATCGATCCCAGTACCTCTCGCATGCTAAGCGAGCGCTCTACCATCTGAGCTACATCCCCACGTTTAACCATTCCTGTAATATAGTTAACTACTTCTGGAATGCCCAATTTTTCGGATTATAGGAAAAGAAAATTTGGTGGCATCGGACAGCTACATGAATTCGTAGATCAGAAAAGAACATATAAAAATTTTAATTAATTTTTTAGATATATATACAACTATCTTTTGAACTTAAAGAAGAAAGAGAGGGAAGGAAATTTTGAGAGAGTTGATTTTGTATGTTTGTCTTTTTTCTCCTTGATCTTTCTCCTTGTATATAGCCAATTTGTTATAATGTAAAGAAATGTATTGACGCAAATATCCCTGAGTTTGGGATATCGCGTTATAGGATGTTAATAAAGATATATATATATTGCAATTTCAACATACAATTTTAATGTCAAATAAAAAACAATGGTTGCCTGTAAAGTCGGTTTTACGGGCGAAGATTTTACGTGACAACGGTAGAATATTTATTGATATGAATATAATTAAATTGCACAATAGGAACAAGGAATTGAATGAAAATAAGAATTGCACAAATTTTAACTATAGAAATATATTTTGTTTACTAAAACATTGTACATGTAAACTTAAACTTAACTAATTCCTATTTGAGTGATTTTGTTGAGGATAGGACGATGATAGGAGAAATATGAAATGAAAGGAAGTGTTTCTGCTGTAATGTGTCTTGCGAAAGTCAAGTCGATAGTTGTTCCTTTTAACGTAGTTGACTTAGAAACGTTTGATACGCAATCAAGATTATACGTATTTTTCATGAATTTAAGAAACGAGTTGTCAGGCTTTACGTTTTTGTTAAAATCACCACACAGAAGAATCGGTATACTAGAATCAACTTGCACGAACGGTGGCACGTACTGGCTGTTGTGAATGTACGGACCGAGTCCTTGCCATAGTAACATTCCAATATCCTGCATACTAGCTCCTGGATGAATATATACAGCACCGAGTATAAACTTGAAGCTAGTATTAGCGGCGAAGCAAGTAACTTCAGTCATGCACATGTCACCCTTGGTTTTAATGACACGAGTTACGTCTGTAATCGCAACTTGGAACACTTCCGCTGTAGATGTCGATGATAATTTACGATAGATCGCCACTCCACCAGCCGCGTTGGTATTTGAAAATCAAAACACTTATTCAGATCGAAGGTTCAAATTTTTGCTAAATAAATTTGAAATTAAATAAAATTTGTAATTGTAAATGATGAAGTTGAAAATTAAAACATTTACTTAAATTAGATGTTAAAATTCTTGCTCAACACAGTTTAAATAAAGTTTTCTTATATCTGCCACTTTTTCTTAATATTTGTAATTTTAAAGAATCAATTCGAAAATCAAAACATTTATTCAGATCGAAGGTTCAAATTTTTGCTAAATAAATTTGAAACTATTTAAAATTTGTGTAAAATAATAATTAATTAATTAATTAATTTTAAACTAATAATTTACTTAACACTATCAACATTTATCAATAGTATGACATAACCTATAAACTCAGTTTCTCAACTTTTGTGTCAATCTAACAATTAATCAATCAATCATAGTTTACGATAATGAAATATCAGTGTACAATTATTTACCTTTATTGTTGTAGTTGTTGTAAATGACGAATCTAAGCACTCCACATTTTCACTACAGACACAGCTGACGATACTTTAACCACACGTGTGAACTTGTATTATGACGCTTTCTTGTTTTTCCAACGCCAAGAACGTTCGAGAAAGACAAAGACAGAGACAAGCATGCGCCGATTCAATGCGCCTAATTCTCTAGCGCTGCGCGCGCAGCACTCTCGTTCGATGACTCATCGTAACGTTACCGGGCGTTACACTTTTTCATAAGTGACTCCCAGCCGCAACCTAATTTAAGACGTTGTCACGTCAAAAAATAATGGCGTTAAAAAATTTCGTGTATCATATTGTCACCAACCAACCGCACAAATACAGCATCCTTAAATAGAACTGTCATAGAGGGTTACACGGCAGGTTGAGAGATGAACTTATGAAAAAAAATTGATTTAAAGGCGATCCTTCAAATAAGTTTATATAAAAAGGGCGTACCTGGATCTGTAAAGAAAAATTGGATTTTGAGAAAATGTGTGTTCTTTACAGATCCAGATACGCCTTTTTTATATAAACTTATGAAAAAGGTTTTCGACTGGTACACTTAATATCATTCAGGAACTCCCATCTCTCTCTTGGGGACATGGAGGCTGTGCTCATGTTAGAATCGTCGGTGATCTGATGCCAAATAAGGAACAGATTCTAGGCAAAATCAGCGATGTCTACGTGGAATCTTGAGATCAAAGATAGATACACTCTTGTATCCATTCAATGAGATAGGAATAAATATTTTTATATTACTTACTTACTTGCTTGCTTACTGCCCAGAAGTCCTCTTCTACGATGTAGGCGGGAGAAGCAGCACAGGGTGAAGTACGGTGTCGTGAGCCCCGAGCCGCTACGGTAACCGTGAACAGGGAACTCTGAAGTGTGGCTGACTAACGGCAGCGGGGAAGGAGTTTTTCCCGCCCTCTACAATCACTCTAGAGGGGAGTGAGTTGAGAGGCGTCTCTGCGTGTGTCCTCCGTCGGGGTGCCACTGACTGATGTCCAGTGAAGCTGTAAGCTGGCCGTCTGTCCTTGGTTGTCTGAGGCGAGGCGCACGTGTCTTGAAACTCTTGGGTCTTCGCTCTGTGTGTGCGTCATTGGAAGCGTCCTTGTCGTGCGCACCATGAGAAACCAAGGGGTGCACACAGTAGTACCACCCCCCCCGCGTTCACGGCGTTCCCCGCGTAAACCTCAGTTCCTCAGAGGTCCTTGATTCGACGGCAGATTCAGGGAGTACTGGGGTTAAGGGTTCGAGGGCTAAAGGGGGGGGAGTCCTATTGGAGCGTAGGACGGATGGCTCTAAGTCCGAACGAGAGGGCTCGGTCAGCAACCTTGCCAATGAACTCTCGGAGACGCCTGTGGGTGAGTGGTCAACCCCATTGTAGCCGGACCATACTGGCGGGCGCGAGGGGCCTACCAAAGGCCGCTCGGTGCATGGAGAATGCATCATTCCTTCTGGCTGTGTGACGTGGTTTTTCAGCGAAAAACAGGGGATGCAAGGGCTTTTGTTGCCTATATCATTCCTGGCTTTTGCCGAATTTCTATTCTGACTAACGGCACCCCTACCATTCCATGGAAAAATATGGACAAGACACCATCAATTACTTGCTTGTTCGCTTTGCTTACTCATTATAATTTTTTACAAATATCGATTAATGAATATTTTGAAGTTGTTCAATATGGCATATGCAAATAATTATTTCTTTCAATTTCAAATTATAGTATTTGAGACAATAAATATTGTCACGGATTTCCCTTGTCAAATAAGTAGTAGGAATCACGCGAAGTGCAGTTTTCTATATAAACTTTATTCACCATGTAGGCCAAAACTAGCTTCTTTTATATAGTCAATTTTGGCTAATATTTACATATAAATTATTGTATGAAAAATTAGAAAAAAAAAAAAGATATGCAAATATTATACAGTTACAATATTGATTAAGTATTAGATCTAAATTCGAAACTATTTTAAAGGCGTAAGATTCTTTTTGAAATATTTTCAAAAATAATCTTACGCCTTTAAAATAGTTTCGAATTTTGATAACAGATGGCGCGCTAGTGCATCATATTATAAGTATTAGATCTGTTGAGAAATATAATACAAGTCTTATCTAGTTGTCCCCGGCAGTTTACTTTCAGTATTCAGTATTAGAGTAGATAGGTATTTCCAGCTAAGAACTTTGACATCACACAGCCTTTGAATACAGCTCATAACTTGTAAACTCTTCCTATTTGTGACCATATAGACTGAAAATAAAAAAGCCATATCCTGACCAGGAGCACATGTGCTTTACCCCGTTAGTCAGCTACATTTCAGAGTTCCCTGTTCACGGTTACCGTAGCGGCTCGGGGCTCACGACACCGTACTTCACCCTACAGGACAGTCCCTTACTTGTGCTGCTTCTCCCGCCCGCCAAGTAGAGGAGGACTTCTGAGCAGGAAGCAAGTAAATAGGTAATATAAGATTCTTTTTTCCTATCTCAGCGCCATCTGGTGGAACCTGGATATGCCTTTTTTATTTTTAATATCAACACCTGACCTTTTATTTTTCTATTATTTTTCGTATAGACTGAAGATGGTCTTATCGATTGATTTAAATCTCCTGGACATTAAACAATAAAAAAGTTTTCCTGAGTTTCTTTTTATTTTATTAAAACCGTCTCAAGATTTCTTGCATATCTGCCCTTTTACGGGAAAAAATATTATCAATGAATAAAACGCCGCCTGATGCCAAAGGCGGCGTTTTATTCATTGTATATTTTTTCCTGTAGAAGGGCAGAGATGCACGAAATCTTGAGACGGTTTTGATAAAATAAAAAGAAACTCAGGAAACCCTTTTAATTGATTAATTGAGATGTTCTTTTATCAGTAGAATCGGAGATAACGAGGAAATTAGTTATGATTAATGTTTTGGAATTAATTATCCTCCGACATCAGTTTTAGAGAATCTTTGAATAGATTTTAAAAAATTGGCGCTGTTGAAACAAGTAAGTTCTCTTGTGTGCTTCACAGTGTAGTAAAACGATAGGTTGGGTCTATTTCGTTGTCTTCCTTTGTGTTGTAGAGGCTGTAGTAGGTTGTTGTTGTCGTGTCCAATGAAGAGCCTCAGATCTCTCCATGCATCTCTATCACAGCAGCAGCAATGTCCACTATCTGGAGATATCGGTTTTTCTCTTCATTGGAAAATGGGTGCCGTTGCCACGTTAGTCACCTTGGAAACGAACCAGAATTTGGTCGAATATTCCAAGGGTCCAGGGGGGACCGCAGGGAGGTGTGGTCGGATTATGTATGGTTATCTCTCTCTCATATGTAAATACTTTTTAAAATTTGTAACTTCTTGTTATCCTCCTCCCTTTTACTGTATATTATTACAAGTAACACCAAGGGGC